ATATTCTTGTGCAAGAAGATTTATGCCTGAGCAGGAGCATCAAAGTATTTGCACAAGAAGCACTGATTTTGTACATTACAAAGTCAGTGTTCTTGCGCAAATTCTCACAGCCAATGTAGACAGGTGGCAAGTTTCTGCACAAAAGCAGCTGCTTTTGCGCAAAAACTTGCCAATCCAGATGCACCCTGTGAGTTTACCAAAGGAGGAGCCGAGCAAAAAGATTGACACTCCAGTGATCGATCTTCCAGAGTTTGATTTAGCAGGTCTAGAAAAGACCTGCTAAATCAAATGCTGAGGCACTCCCATTAACCGCAGTACTCCTCACAGTCATGAAGAGTAAGGGAAATCGATGGGAGAGTTTTGTTGACTTTCCCCTGTGGGACTGCTCCAGGAAAACATAAAATAAAAAAATAAATTGATGGAAGGTACTGTCACAGGGTTGAACTCACCACCATGGTGCCTCCAGCTAGTTGCTCTGGGAATTAGCCTGGTGTCTTGCTGGACGCCTCCCTCTAGCTGGTGTCTCCCCGTGTTCCTCTTTGACCACGGCATCCTCTTCAGGACACTGCCCTCCGGCAGTGCCCGCTTCAGTCTCTCTGAGCCCCCCCCCTCTCCTCTCCGCTTCTGGGAGGTGTTTACCCAACTACATGCTCCAGAGACCTCCCCTCCAAAGGGGCACCCAGTTCCCCTGTACCCACCTTGCCTCAGTGACCCACTGTCAGTCTTCGTCTAGCCCCTGCCTCAGGGGCAAACTGCCGTGTGGAATGGCCACTCAGCACTTGCAAAGGGGTGCGTGCGGACCTGCTGCCTTTGCCTAACCTGCCTGCTTCAGGCCCTGCAGCCTGGGAACTTACTTGACCAAAGCTTCCCCAGACTGCTCAGCCTCCAGGAAGCCTGGATCAGAGACGCCATTTAAGGGGGGAATGTGCTCTCAGGGAAGGAGAGAAGGCCTAAGCCTGAAATACTCCCCAGGTCTCTCAGGCTCCCAGAAGGGTGAGCTCCGACTCAGGAAGGTGGCATCTCAGGTCTGTGTGTTGTTTTTCCAAAGATCTGTAACTCTTGCAATCCCTTGGGAAACCGGCATTTCTTGCTCACCGGCCGCACTGTCCCGGAAGGGGTTAGTTGAGAAGCAAAACTTTACCCGCATAAACACCCTATGAAATACTCCCCAGGTCTCTCAGGCTCCCAGAAGGGTGAGCTCCGACTCAGGAAGGTGGCATCTCAGGTCTGTGTGTTGTTTTTCCAAAGATCTGTAACTCTTGCAATCCCTTGGGAAACCGGCATTTCTTGCTCACCGGCCGCACTGTCCCGGAAGGGGTTAGTTGAGAAGCAAAACTTTACCCGCATAAACACCCTATTCCAACACCCCGGTCCAGCCACACCCCACCCCCTCTCCCTACTTGCTCCTCCGTTCTCGTTCTTTCATCTTCTCCTTCTTGTTTCTTCTTCCTCCCCCGGGACGCCAGCTCTGCACGCCAGGCCCTCAGCTCGCACAGGAGAGACGCGTCCCATAGACCCCTAGAAATGCAGAGCTGGACGAGAGCTCAAAAGGCCCCCGCATCCAGGAAGTGCCCATAGGGTGGAGTGAAATGACAGGTGAAAATCACTGCTGGTCGATGCACGTTGGAAAACATGGTCCCAGCTATCCATGCAAGACGGCGGGGGGGAGAGGGGTCCAAATGAGCTGCTGCCACCCCACAAAGAGCCCTTGGAGACCACAGGGAGCCTTCTCTGGAAACAGCCGCCCGATGTGCAGCGGCCGGCACGCGAGCTAACGGGCCCATTAGGAAAGGGTTAGCGAGAAGGACCAGGCGTGACAGGAACTGAAATGTCTTACAGGCACTGTCCTATCACAACCTGTCCCCTTGTGGGGGCGAGGGGGTTGCGATAGGACAGCACCTGTAAGCAATTTAAATGTGAGATGGAGTGTGGGTGGGGCGGGGCTCAGGCTGGGTGTGGGGGGCACTCAGGGCAGAGGGCTGGGTGTGGGGGGGTTCCGAGCAGAGGGCTGGGTGGGGGGGCCACTCAGGGCAGAGGGCTGGGTGTGGGGGCCATGCAGGGCAGAGGGCTGGGTATGGGAGTGCTCCAAGCAGAGGACTAGGTGGGGGGGGGGGCCTCGGGGCAGAGGGTTGAGTGTGTGAGGGGTTCCGAGCAGAGGGCTGGGTGTAGGGGGGGCCTGAGGGCAGAGGGCTGGGTGTGGGGGGGTAAGGGAGGAAGACTGGGGGTGGTGTAGTATGGAGGGGGGGTTGAGGCTCCGGGGGGGGGGG